GTAGCACTTGCCCAAGTCCACTGAAATTGGAAGTAGAAGTTAAATTTTAATAAATATCTCACACACTTTTCAACTTGTATCAATAATTTTTGAGTTTAAAATTTACTTGCTTTAGTCAGATTTTATACTATGATGTCTTTTTTCAGATGAAATGAAAGTGAAACAAGCAAGTGGATGTGATTTCAATCTGTCTTGCATATATTTAGTTGGTTGAAATATAATGGCGCCAAGCAATGCCAAAGTTGGTTATTCGGTGACATTAAGTTATCTAATTTCTTTCATCAGCATTAGCATGTTTTCCATCATTTCGTTACTCTAACTGTAACTGAGTTGGCTTCATATCCAAAGGGAAAACCTTGAGTTATTCAGAAAACAGCAACCAGGAAAATTGTTTTGCAGCATTACCTGGACATGAAACATTTGACATGCAACACTACTTTTCGGCAATGTTCCCTCTAAACTGAGCGAATGAGCGATCGCTCACTAATTTTCGAGACGTCGCTCACATTTTTCGGACCGTCGCTCACAAAAATTCCCGACCAGAAAAAATAATGGCTCTATATAAATTACTCTCACACCTGTCAATTTTAAGTTAAGCCACATCCGGCGACTTCCGCCACGTCTATATCGCTCTTGGTTCGGCAAATTCTTTTGAGTTCTATATTTCAAACTCAAAGTAGTGTAGTTCAGCGCTAAAATTAATTATTTTCTAACCATGTTTAAACGAGAAGCGGAAGAAAGTTCATGTAAGTCAGCGAAAAAACGTTGCATGAAATTTAAAACGGAGTGGTTAACCGAATGTTCTGTGGTAACGGACTTACCACATGGGACCGGACAACACGTGCTCCTTGGTGAAGTTTTTGAATACTCAGAGACAGATGACATGGTATTCTGCAAATTTTGCGTTAAAGCGCGATGTACTAATGAATGGACAACAGGAAAATCATGGAGCGACTGGAAAGTGGATCATTTTAAAAGACATTTGACGCAGAAATATCATACCGAAGCGATCACAAAGCTTAGAAACCAAAGTAGAGGACTGCTGAAAACCATACTAACGGAATCTGTACAAGAACGCGAAATTAGAAAAGAATTCGCTCAAAGAAAGCAGGCAACTCCTGATGAGGTAAAGGTTTTAATAGACAATGTTCTGCTGGCTGTTAAAATTAATTCCTCAATGCTATCAGTCCAGGATATTCATGATCACGTGGCTAAGTATGTTAAAATACCAGAAAGTTGGCGAAGTAAAAACTATGCCTTTGAGTTCATCAATTGTATAAATTCAACCATCAAGACTGGTATACTGAAGGAAATTAAGCAATCAGCTTATCACACTCTGATAGTTGATGAATCCACTGACATTTCGGTGTCAAAAATGTTAATTTTATATATGAAATTTCGGAATGAAAGTGAATCAAATCACAAAACTGTGTTCGCAGGCATTATTAAAATAACATCATGCGACAGTGTGTCGATCTTAGGGGCCATTCGAAAGTTCTATTTGGAAAATGAACTGAATTTGAATCAGATGGTAATGTTTACATCGGATGGCGCATCGGTCATGCTGGGCAAACGAAATGGTGTGGCTGCTCTTTTGCGCCAGTCCATTCCACACTTATCTGAACAACATTGTGTGGCACATCGTGAGGATCTCGGCATAGATGATGCATGGAGATGCATACCCTTGATGAAGGAACTAGAAACTCTATTTCGAACCGTTTATACTATTTTTTCCCGATCGTCTGTTAAGAAGGCAAAATTTGAGGAATTTGCTAATACTGCAGAGGCTGATGCAATTTCTTTTAGACCACTTAACGAGGTCAGATGGCTCTCCAGACATTTTGCAGTGAATGCCTTGGTCAAAAACTATGATATTTTAGTGGAATACTTGCGACAAGTTGTTGAGGAAGACAACGATCCTGTTCACAAATACTGCCTGCAGAAATTAGAAAATCCAGAATATCATGTCGCAATCGTAATATTAAATGAAATTCTAGCTGAGCTAGCAGATCTGTGTAAAATTCTGCAAAGAAGTGTTCTATCAACTGTAGAGGCTTTTCAGTTTGCAAAAGCAAAAGTCATGAAACTCAGGTCACAGTATCTCGGAGATAAGCCACATTTTCATAAAAGTACACTTGATTTGCTTTCCTCATATCATTCTCCAGTGAAAACAGATTCAATTATTATGTTCATTCAGCAGACATGTGACCACATGGACCATCGATTTCCAGATGATGAATTGAAAGATTGGCTAGTGTTCGATAAAGACTGTTTCACTGCATCTGCCAATCTAGACAATTATTCGTTTGGATTTGAGCAAATCAAGAGACTCGCAGAGAAATATTGCGGTCTGCTGAGAAAAGATGGCAAATCCCTACAAGCGGATCTTTGCAACCAATATCCGGAGTTCAAAATACTGATCAAGGAAAAATTACAAATGGGAGCAGTGACAACATTTTCAGATATAGTTTCATTTACTGCCCAACAGGATCAATTCAAGGAACTATTTTCACTTTTGGACATCTGTGGCACATTCCAGGCCTCAAGTGCTGACTGCGAAAGAGGATTCAGTCTGATGAACAACATAAAGACAAAATCTAGAAATCGTCTCGAAGTTGAACATTTGGACAATTTGATGCGAATTAAATTCTTTTTAAATTCTGGACAGATGGTGGATATTGATGCGGTCTATGACTTATGGAAAACAGAAAAGAACAGAAGAGAAACTGTTTTCAAAGCCGACTAAACAGGCTTCAAGTTGAAAACTTATAATAAATTGTTTGGTATCACTTACGTCTATTTTTCAATACTTAAATTTAAGTTCTTTAAATATACATTGCTGTAATATACAAAATTGTCTAATATGCATTTAATATATACAAAATTGTCTAGTATGCATTTAGTATTTAATATTTTAAATATTTAATATTTATTTTTATTTAATACCAAAATGCACCGCTAAAACTGGTGCTCAGAAATTGCGGGTTTAAAAAAAATTTGTCGCTCATACGAAAAAAAAATTGCTCACTCTTGGTCACTCCTTAGAGGGAACATTGCTTTTCGGTCTTTTTCGTCTTGACATTAATAGTAGATACCTGAATAAAGATAATTGCAGAAATTTTCCTATTTGGTACACAGAATAAGAATGGGAAATAAATTATTCAATAATCCTGAATGAGAAATTATTACACATAAAATCAGTTGATTGTCAATTTATGTTAAATCATAGTGACCCTGCTATTACACAATATTTGGGAGCCATAGAATCTGACCATGTTTTATTAGCAACTAGGTCAATAGTTAAGGAAAATGACACATGTATCCAAACAATTTGTGTGGGTGTTTGTTGGTAATAAATGCAGGTGAAAAAATACCTGCTTCATTGAATCATTGGCACATATCTTCTTACATTAATGCAAATTAAAAGAGAAATACACCTGTAGTGAAAGCAGAGAAAGTGTATATAATATATGAATTTATTCAGAGAACCATGCATTGATATATATTTGTAAACACTGTTTATATACAACTGTCTAACATATAGTATGAACATAGTATCAATGTGTACTCACCTGCGAAATATTATCACATACATTGAATCCTTGATACAAGTAATTCCATCCAAAATATGTACACATGTACACAGAGATTTAAAATGTTCAATAATTTTGTCATAGGTCAAATATAGTCTAAATTCAGAGGAAAAAATTGTACAATCACAACAAATGAAGCACATTTATACTCTCAGTACAACCCAAGTTGGTAAAATTAACTGTGTTTTAGGTTGCCATTGGTAGCATACTTTAAACATTTTTCCTGCAAAAAAAAAACTTTCATGGCACAATATCTGTGTTCCAGTCACATTGGAAACTAAAACAGATGATATAACAATGCACTGTAACAGTTATGATGGTTTGTCAATATGGACAAAGAATTGATTGATGTAACAATGGATGAATTTAAGTGCATTTTATATCAAGTTTCCAGCTTAATTTTATGTCACCATGCTGTTGGTTGGCATTATAGACTAAGTGATTGAACTCATGAAATCCAATAGATGTCTGTAGGACAAAGCACTCAAATATCTGCTCAATTTGCCAAGTCGTGGGAACCTTGGCTAGCAAAGATGAACTTTATCTTGTACATGTACAGAAGTTTGTAGTGACTGTGTTGAACATTATGTAATTTGAATGCTAGTGTATAATTAATTTGAATTGTGTTCTTAGCTTTTGTCCATGATTGTAGGTTTGGTAATGTGAGCAGAGTGTTTATATGACTATATATACTCCATAACATTTTGTTATAAATAGGTTGTTTATGGCTTGGAATATTAAAAAAACATATTTGTTTACAATTTGATTGGAATTTTCCATTTAAATGACTTGTATCCAGGTCATGTGAAATGTTTATAAATAGGGACTTTGTAAGCAAATATTTCATTCCTATTTTAGACCAGTCACTGGGAATCCATCTGTGATCAAAATATACAGCTGTGGTCAAATATAATTAGAGAAGAATTATTTATTTAAATTTTTCTTTGGAATTGGTAAGTGCATATTGATTTTTAATTAACACATTATTTCAGAATTATAATCATTGTGAACTCATTTAAAGACATTCTGGATTGCATCATTGTGGTAGATCAGGACAATCAAAACTACTGCAATTCATTAGGAACATTCAGTACTTTTGTACTTAGGTTTAATTTCACATTACTGTAATTGTCTCTTGAATTTTAATTTTGTATTGCTTGTAGTGTCATAACAAAGCTTACAAAATTCAGTGCCCTCTCACCGATGTCTGCATGTGTTCATGTCTGCATGTGTTCCAGTCTAAGATTCAGCAAATGTGGATATGTGAGAAAGCTTGCCAGTAGCTTCTCGTGGGTTGGGTGGTGGTTTCTTCCTCCACCATTAATACTGGCCGCCATGTATAGCCTATCGTGTGCTGAAAAAGGAAAAATGGCAAAAAGTACCACAACAACAACAACAAAATTAACTGCTCCAGTGGCCTAGTGGTTAGAGCATCTGCCTCAGATGCAGGAGGTCATGGGTTTGATCCGGTCGAGTCACACCAAAGACTTACAAAGATGGTACTAACATCTGCCATGCTTGATGCTCAGCATTAAGAGGTTATTGTTAGAACTGGTCGGCCTGGAGTCAAGATAATGTGACTGGGTGGGACATTATGCTACATGTCTTTGGCTTGATGCCCCAGCGCTAGACATTACTATAAGCTGCCACACTGCAGACATCGAAGTGATATGACTGAAAAATTGTTAAAGCTAAAAATCGTAATCACATCACATACAAAATTCACTTTGTTTTTCCAAAGAGACCAGCATGGACTCTGAGTTAGCTAAGGTTACAACTGTGGTAATTTCTCTCTCAAGGACAGTAATAAATTATGGTCCTTTTTTTAAAGGTCCATTTTGGAATGGGGCATGGTTTGAATCCCCAAAAAACCTTAGTTAAATCCATGAGACTTTCCATTAATGAAACTGACTTTAATTTGACAGTAAAGATTGTAGAGTAGCAAAAAAACAAAAAGAAAATCTATTATTTGAATTAAAAGACTTTAATGAGGTATAGCATGGAAGCATAATATGAGATAGGGAAGTAAAAAATACTGTGTAAATGTACATACTTTTGTCATTGACTTTTTTCCTCACTTGTGATAATATGTTTGAAAGCATTTTGTGATATTACCAGATAAAAGGAGATCCCCATTAATATTTGGAAAAAATGGCATTAAAGATTGCCATTACTGCATGTATAGCATTGACACACCCTTCTGTTTATCTACAACCCCTTACTGATTTTAAAAGCGAAAAACAGCTAGGGAACAAAAAGTGAACAAAACCCATTCCTTTCATTCATCATTTTGTAATTTCTAACTAAATCGAAGCTCAAGATATAAACAATCAGTCTGCTAACTGTCCTTTTGTTTTCTAGAACAGTCCATTTCATTAAAAAATCTACCTGTGTTCAGTATTTGCAGTGTCTAGTGTAATATTTCTAAAACAAATTAAACAAATAAAAAGTAGAAACTTGTATACATGCACATCTTTAAAAAGATGTAACTCCAAAATTTATGGAATTATTGATATTACATTTGTAGCTTGAAAACAGATTCCCATGCAAATATGGCAACTATGTTACTAAAGAAACTCCCATTTGATTAAAAACACCAGCAAGTTGACAGTGTTTGGGACCCTTGTAACAATCAGGTTAGAAATTATAAATGGATAAATTAAATGGTTTAGATTTTGTTCATTTTTGTATACTTTATGCCTTTTGTTTTTAAAATTGGTGAAGGCATACAACTAAAAGGTGTGTGAATACTATACAATAAAGAATTTGCTGGCATAGGTTACATATGTGATAGATGTACCGTAAATGCAGTCCTGTCCAATTGCAAGCAACTTAAACCTGCGATCAAGGTCTGTGTTGTTTCATCTGTTGATTGCTCCTAAGAGGTATATACCCAGATTTGCCAGAGTATTATGCAAAGTTTTGGAGTTGGACTTTATTTATAAATTTGTATATAAAATGCATGTGCAATTAGTGCCAGTAGCCATGCCATATCCATGCTTGTGGCCTCATCTAAATCTGATCTGTAAACAGTCAGTATTGAGCATAAATTTAACAACACTAAGAAAAAGAATGTGGAAAGTTATGCTGTCATATGTCCAATAATAAGTTGAAATTGGGTTGCTATTGAAGCTCGTAGTTTTTTGGAATTTCAAACTTTGAAGAAACTAGAGTTTTATGGCTGTTCCAGGGATAGAAATATATGTCCTGATGCCCCAGTGGTTGATCAAAGGACAAATTTATATCCTGATGTGCCATTGGTTGATCAAAGGACAAATTTATATCCTGATGTGCCATTGGTTGATCAAAGGACAAATTTATATCCTGATGTGCCATTGGTTGATCAAAGGACAAATTTATATCCTGATGTGCCATTGGTTGATCTGGGTCCAAAGAATAACATCACAATGTAAATAGGATCACAATAACAAATTTTTCAAAAATTTTTTTTAGAAAATGTGCATTGAAATTTCAATGTCATCATTTTTAACTAACCTTTTGATCATCTAATCTGCTGGGAATATGAATAAACGGATTTTCAGAGACCACATATTTAGAATGTTAAAAAGAGAGCTTATCTTAAATAAAAAAAATGGGAATCCTGTTGTCACTGCGCTGAATCATGTTATAACCAATTGCGTTGTAATGGGTTTTGCCTCTAATTGTTAGTGGCAAACTGACCATGCAAACAAGAAACAATGTTTTGTCCATATCTGCCTGATTTCTATCAACCTAATGGGGTGGGGGTGGGGGATAATTGTGGTATGTGGTTAGAACAGCACCCGGAGTCACTCACCCTGCATCTGAAGGATAGTGATCAACCAACATTTGATCCTGACCTGGTTACAAGGCAAGTAGTGATATCTAGGGTGAGAATCCACCAGCTGTGTGCAACTAAAATGGGATTGGAGACCAGCCTATTTTAGTGGAGTAAACTGGTGTGGACAGAGTAATTGTGGCACTACAGTTTGAAGGAACATAAAAACATAAATCACTGCTCAGCAACATGTATAATGTTTAGTTAACCTTTTTAGTGGCATGGTTTTAACCTTTTGGACACCTGGATTTATATAAGTTTTAGACACTCTGATTTGTCATTCATGATCTATGAACAGATGAAAAGATGTTCATGTTGTTTGTGATGGTTGACATGTATCTAGGTACATGTACATAAAGATGACATCAGATTAGGGATGGGTGGGAGATATCGGGGATTTCAACAAAAGGTGCAGATAAATGGCAAATCTTATATCTCAGGTGTTTAGGGTTAAAACATATTTGAAGTCAGAACATCAAAATATGTGTCTCTGTAGTTAATGGATTCTACCTAATTGCTTAATTATTATTTCTCTTTATTCAATAATCTCAATAAAATTTTGTTTTGAAAAATGTTAAGTAAGGTATTGTACTTATACATCCTGTATACCTAATTATACTATACACCTGAGCTGTTGCCAACAACTTGATTATCCACAAGTACATGAGCTGGAATTTATGCCTAGAATATTAACAGTAACAGCTCACATGTGCCTTTTAACGTCCCAATGTGACACAGTATTGGTATATAATGCTTCTTTTGTTTGTATGTCCACATGTCCATCACCTTGGGTAAGTTTTTCAATTAGGTAATAAGAGGCACAGTAGGAAATGCATATTCCATTAACACTTTTTTGTCTTAACAGTTTTTGTAAGTAAATTGGTTTTATTAACATATGACTGGAAATCACATTTATTTACAAAATGTACATGCTGTTAGCTTCTGAGTTGAATATTTATTAGCATATTAACATGAATACAGTGGAAAATCATGTGGAAAATCATTTCATGAACACCTGATCAACAAAAGAGCACATATACATATTAGCATTATTATGTGTGGACTTTTTATATAACTGCAGAAGAACATTAGTACTAAAATTAGCTCCTATATATTGATTGTAGCAGTTGTACCTATCTGGTATTGTCAGGTTGAAAAAATAATACCAGCAATGTTTATTTAACCATACTTTCATTTAGTTATTAATCCCCAGTTGTACTTGTATTAGGGTATTAAAATTTTTCACTAGTGGAAGGTAATACTTAAAACTGTATATAGGATATCCAGTAAAATATAAAAGAAAATGCTTTTATCAAAGATAAGGGTAATTGGCACATTGTTGCAACCTAAAATAAACTGAGAATCCAGTGATAAACTCTTAGCAACCAAAGCAAAGATTATGATCTTAGATGATGCAAAGTTCATTTTTTATGCATGTACATATGCATGTACATGTAAATAAGGGCAGGTGTCAGATAATGAGAGATGCTAGATATAGCTGCATGCATTTATTTACACCTGTTAGTTTCCTCAAAAGTGTTGATGACAGGCTGGCTGTCAGAGATGACATGACAAACTCAGACAGTTGACTCAAATTATGGATTATACTTTTGGAACTACTGTAGACATATCCTTAAGAGTAAACTGGACTGTGAAACATTCTAATTAGGAAGGATAATCAACTCTCCTTATAAAAATATTAAATTTGCTCAGTTATGTCAATATTCATCAGTACTTTGGTCTTTTACTACATTAAAGACAGTTCAATAAAGGTAATATTTGATTCTTAGTCAATTAATTGTACTGTGTGACTTGGTAACCCACTCACTCCCCCTGACACTGCCTTCACCTTGACCATGTTATGCATGTCACCTTTTACACAATAGAATTATCTGATGATATAACAAATAACTCTCTCTCTCTCTCTCTCTCTCTCTCTCTCTCTCTCTCTCTCTCTCTCTCTCTCTCTCTCTCTCTCTCTCTCTATATATATATATATATATATATATATATATATATATATATATATATATATATATATATATATATAATTATATTGATGCATAATGGACAGCAAGAAAATCTTGTCACCACTCCTCTTGAATTAATGGTTGAATTATTAAATTGATATGCACTTTTAACCAAAAATGATGTCTCATGATGTCTGCTTGATCCATAGTCAAATTCATGACAATCTGACCAACAGAACATGTTATTTAAAAATTTTGTTTTTCTGAGGTAGTAACATCAGAGATAGTTTTAGCAGTCAGCAGATAGAATAGATAGATAGAATAGATAGAACAGATAAATTATGTCTGGCTAATAAGAACACTATTCCCATTAAGGCACTTTTTTTTCAAAATGACCCCACTTTTGACCTAATATAGGCTTTTGGTTCCATTTTTTCATTTTAGGAATGAACACTGTGCCACTTGAAATAATTTATATCAGCATAACTTAGCATTGCAATACACTAATCCAAGATCTGTAAATTTGCCAATGGAGCACTAAAAACCCAGCTCTAACAAATCTGCCAGATCACCAGATCTGTAAAAAAAATATGTAGAAGGGTTATCAAATGGTCTTCTTTCAGACATATTCAATAAAACATTTCTCTTCAGCAGTAGATTTATCTGCCTATTGTGTAACATTATTACCTGCAATTGCCCAGA